CGGCCAGCCTGCCCCGGGGCACCGAGCTCGTGCCGGGGGCGGAGCCTCGCAGAGCGGCCACCAACGGCCAGTGCAACGATCCCCAACGGGGCGGGCAGGACGCGTCCCCTCCGAAGGAGGAGGGGAGGGAGGCCGCGAGATATCGGGGCACGGGTGGAGAAGGGCACTGAAATGAGCGGGGTGGGAGGGGGTGGGGAAGACTTGGGCGAGCTCCGCGCGACGCTCCAGGCGATCGGGAGGTAAAGGACACTCGGGCGCAGCTGCCCTCTTCCCTTCTGGCGCCTCGGTCCCCGGTGGCGCTCACCGTGCGCGCGCGGAGCCGCTGGAGATCGCGAGAGGCAAGGGTGGCGCTGCGTTCCGGGCAGTGTCGTGCGCTCCGTGGGCGCCCTGTCCCCGTTGCACCGAGAGCCGCTCCTAGTGAGGCGAGAGCCGGCAGCGGGAGGGACTTAGCCAGCCAGCCCTCCGGGCGCGAGGGGCGGGAGCAGCGGCGATGGGGCCTTCGAGCCGCTCGGGCTGCCCGGCGCGAACGCCTGCCGTAAATGGCGCGCTGGGCGGCCTCTGCCAGTCCTCCCTAAGCCCCCACGCCGCGGGGTGCAACCACTCGCCACAAGTTGCGACGGGCTTTGGGAGCGGCAGCAGTGTTACCTTGAGTTATGAGCTGAATCGAAGTCGGGGTCCTTCAGGCGAAGTCGTTTGACGTCCAAACGGGGACAATAGGTGTCAAGCAGCTGGCTCTGGAGCTGGCGACTGCCCCGTGGAGATCCCTTATTTGGTGGGGGGCGGAGGGAGGTTTCCGCGAGTAGGGGTGCGTGCGGTGGGTGGTGCGATCCCAGCTTCTAGAATTCCTTCGTACGCAGAGCGTGCAGGCGCCCTCACCCTAAAAGGGCTTCTGAAAAAAGACATCTCGGCGCTTCCCCACAAAACAATCACCCAGCAACCGAGGCGTTCTCTGTAGAACGTATCGGGCATGACCATGGTTGGTGGCTTTTGAAGTCTTACAACTCCGGGCTCACATTAGAAATAGTCTTCAGCTACCCCAAGAAGGTGTTTGTTCCACAGGCCTGAGTATTATGAATTACGAGGCTTTTTTTTCCCTTTTGTTTTAAAATTATGTAAAACTTCAAAAAGAAGGTTGAGTGAAATACATAACAAAAAATTTTAGGTAAGAGAATTATTCCAGATTTGGGGTGGGGTAGGTTTGGACAGGGAAGAGGAAATGAGAAACCAAGTGGTAGAGGAAAATGCATTAAAGTGACTATAACCAGTGGAAAACTCAGCAGCATGATATATGCCCACAGTAAAATAACCAGCTTATAATTTAAATTCCATGAAAAAGGGTTCTACTAAACCCACTGTTTCCTGGGGAGTAAGTACTGGCTGGCAACAGTGCATCCTCAGGGAACCCAGAGAAACAACTACAGCCTCAGGCCTGGAGATACTCCAGTTAACGGCAGTCTGTTATCTATTCATTCAAATATTTATTGAGCACCTGACTGTGTGCTAGGGACTCTCCGGTGCTAGAGATCGTGAACAAAAGAAGAATCGTTTTATGGAGCATACAGTCTAAGAGAAAAATACATAATCAGATAATGAAGTGATAAGAAAAGAAAAAAAATAGGCTGCCTGAAAAAGCCTTACAGGGTGACATATAAGCCAAGCCTGAAGGAAGTAAGGAAGAAGGCCAAGCAGTTACCCTGGAGGAACAATTTTCCAGTAGAGGAAATACCAAGGACCAAGATCTGAGATGAAGTATGTGGGCTGGGCATGGTAGCTCATGCCTATAATCTTAACACTCAGGAGGCTGAGGCAGGAGGATTGCCATAAGTTCCAGGCCATCTTGGTCTGTACAGTGAGTTTAAGACCAGCCTAAACTACACAGTGAGACTTTGTCTCAAAAAAAAAAAAAAAAAAGATGACCTATACATGGTGGGTTCAAGGATCAGCAAAGAGGCTGCAGTGGCAAGACAAAAGTAGCAGATGATGTTGGTGGCATAAAAAGGAAGGCCAGTCTTGCAGGACCTGATAAGTCACCCTGAGAACTTCGTCATATGCAGAGTGAAATGGGAAGTCTTAGTTTCATGATGATCAATCTGTGTTTTTAACCATGCTTGTTGTTGCATAGTTTATAGAAAGCATGAGAAAAGGGGTGGATCACATGAAAAAGAAAAAAAAGGGGTGGAGCAAAAGCTGAAGCTAGGAGTTGGGCACAGCACAGTGGCACATGCCTGTAATCCCAGCACTCAGAAGGCAGAGGCAGGAGGATTGCCGAGAGTTCAAGGCCAGCCTGGACTACATAATGAGTTCAAAACCACCCTAAACTACATAGCACCCTCTCAAAAGGAAAAAACCTAAAGCCAGGAGACCCACCCGGCAGGACATATTGCCTCTTGTGATACCAGGCCACAGCCCTCCCTGTGGTCACCTACACTCTGCCCCACAGGCTCTGCGGATGTCTAAAAACGGACAGGGCACTTGCCAAGGGGCACGCTGTTCACACAGGAGGTCTCTGGTGGCAGGCAACAGTGATGGCAGGCTCCTTCTTCCTCCCTCCTGCCATGCCTGGGCCTGCTTGGCCTCAGGGGGCCGGCCACACATCCTCTAGACCCAGCAGCTCCCTGACAGCCTCTCCCCAAACTGTGCCCGGCTATACCTGCTCATGTGGTAGGTGCCTGACATCTTGTACAGGATGTAGGCATTATTGACAGCGACGCTGATAGCAAACCAGAACACCTGCTGCCAGGTCTTGTTGGGTTTGTGAGAGGTGAAGTACTTTCTGTACTTTTTTTTTTTTTTGGGGGGGGGGTCATTTTGAGACAGGGTCTCGCTATGCAGTTCAGGCTGGCCTTGAGCTCACTTTGGAGCCCAGGCTGGTCTCAAACTCCCAACGATCCTCCTGCCTCAGCCTCCTGAGTGCTAGGATTACAGGCATGCACCACCACGCCCAGCTTCATGTACTTGTCATCGTATCTGCAGATGTAGCTGAGGTGGGTGGCAAAGGCCTGTACAGCCAGGGGACAGGGGATCTGTCCACCTCTCCTCTTAATGATGACACCTTGCTGCACCAGAGAATAGGCATTGGTAAGGAAGCTGAAGCGGCTCTTATTATAGCGGCAGATCAGGGACATAGTCCGCTACATCTTGATCTGGTGCTGGCCATGGGCAGGGGGCGTGGCCAGGCTGGCCAGCATGGATGGTGGGAAGCATGTACCGTCACTCTTCCCAGGGCTAAGCAGACCACAGCATGGAAGATGCCCTGCAGGGCATCCAGGAAAGGCTGGACCTTATAGAGCCACGTGCCACCCTGCCTTGGAGCCAGCTGATTATGGACTGAAACCTCTACAAGCTGTGAGCTAAATAAACTTTTCCTTCCTTAAATTTGGGTGTCAGGTATTTTGTCTCGGCAACAGGAGAAAAGTAACCAAGACACTCATGGAAGCTAAATAAGGCTTTTGTCAAGAAAAAAGAAAATATTTTTGAGGGCAAGCAAGATATAGAAGTCAACACATATGACGAAGATTCTCACTGGGAAGTTTATCTTATCCCAGAGGATATCAAGAAAGACCCCAAGCAATAGCATGCCTGGCACAAATACTTTGTACAATTTTTGCAGCTCAAATGATGTCAAGATAGCCTCGCTTACGTTGCAACAGAAACTCTCAAGAGTTCTGTGACTGCTGGGCATAGTGGCCCACACTTATAATCCCAGCACTCAGGAGGCTGAGGCAGGAGGATTGCCTGAGATTGAGGACAGCCTGGACTACACAGTGAGTTCAAGACTAGCCTGGACTACATAGTGAGACCCTTTCTCAAAACATTTTTAAAAAAGAGTTCTGTGACTTACAGCAATCTGCAAACTACAGTCTTGTGGCCAACTGGCCCTTCATCTGTTTTTATAAAGTTTTATTGGAACACAGCCACGTCTACTCAAGTACATATTTTCTGTACACCTAGAGCAAAGTTGATTGGTTGTACATAGACGGTAGAGTGTGCAGCACCTAAAATACTATCTCTTCCTTTAAAGAAAAACGTACATATTACCCTCCTATCATATTATTTTGAATTTTTTTCTTTAAAATAAAAAAGAAAAAGAATGTTCAGGGGAGGAGGGGAGAGGTTGAAGGGAGAGTAGGGGAGTGGAGGAAAAAAGAAGTTATATCATATATAGATACAAATTCTCTATGATGAATGTGATCTGTGTAAAAAATAATAAAATAAATGTTGGACAGCCACCTGTGGCTGATGGCTACCGTACTGGGGAAAAAAAAGAAAAAAAAGAAAAGAAAAATTTGCAAACTCCTGTCTTAAAACTGATACACATGCATCACAGTTCAGTAGAACACTCTGCTCGGGGTCGTCACTCAGGAGATGCAGGCTGATGGGGAAGCATTACTGTGCTGTATGGAAAGAGAACACTAGTAGTTAAATGCTCTGCACAGGCAAACATGCAAGGTGAGCCTTCGTCATATGACCCCGCCCAACCAGGAGGGGCTCATGGGATGACGTTCTGTCAGAAACTGGGTGAATCTAAAACACCTGGTGAACACGCATGGCTGTCTGCTTTCACTTCTTGCATGCAGCTTTTTCATCTCATTCTTTTGATATTCTGACCTTCTTTCAGTATCAGCAAGTCCAGGAAGACCAGTAAATACAAAACAAAACAAGCCTTTTGACTGACTTCCTGACCAGCCCAACGCCATGATCTCAGTAAGCCAAATGTGTCTGTTTCTCCTTGACAGGGACAGGACTAAAAGCTTTTATGTGATTTTTCTACTATGTTACTGTCATGCTACAGCCTTTTTTTCCTCCTAATCTAAAGCCATACAGTAATATAAGGTCTTTTTTGTTGTTGTTTTTGTTTTTTTTCTGGTACCGGGAATCGAACTCACAACCTTGCCCTTGCCAGGCAGGCACTGTGCTGCTGAGCTAAATCCCCAGCCCCCATAGGGTCATTTTATCACTGAAGAAGTAGGACATACCCTTTGGTTTTCCCAGCTGAATATGTCTATGTGTGGAGAACACTTTCACAAGAGTTCCCAAACCATGGTTCTAAAGTTATACAACAAAAAAATAAAAATAAAAAAGTTATACAACATATTATTATGGTTGTTTGGTTTTTTTTCTTGGTCTTTTTGAGACAGGGTCTCACTATGCAGTTCAGGCTGGACTTGAGCTCACTTTGGAGCTCAGGCGAGTCTCGAACTCACAACAATCCTCCTGCCTCAGCCTCACGAGCGCTGGGATTACAGGCGTGCGCCACCAGGCCCAGCTTGTCCACCTTTTCTTAATTGTAATGACAGTTAAAACTACAGCATCCTAATTTGTAGAAGTACAATACATTTAGAATATATTTTCAGTTTTCAAAAACTACTATCATTTCTTCTTTTTTTTGAGACAAGGTCTCACTGTGTAGTCCAGACTGGCCTTGAACTCGCTTATGTAGCCCAGGCTGGCCTCAAACTCACAATGATCCTCCTGTCTCAG